CGGAGCGCACGGAGCCCCTGGCTGTCACCGCTCGGCTGCCTCCTCCTGCCTCCACGCCCGCACAGCCTGCCCCCTCTCCCACTGCCGCCCGGGGCGCACCCAGGACCCAACGTCTGGCGGACAGCTTTCCAGGGGAGGGAACGTCCCAGGATGGAACTGCTGGACTGTACCCGGCTGCGCCTCTGCAGAGGCCTCTGAGCTGCCACCCCCAGCCCGGACCCCCCCACCCAGCTACCTGCGGGTGCTGGTGTCGCACCAGCAGGTTCCCGCCAGAACCCAGAGACACCTGGGACTTCGCCTTTGTGCCCCATCGCCCAAGCCAGCGCTCGCCTCCCTGCCCACTGCCGTCCTGGCCGGACTGCAGGCGACAGCTCTCCCTCACTGGGCACAGATGTTAGTGAGGGTGGAGGGATGCAGCCACTGACCCTACCACCGCAGGGACCTGCCCGTCATCTCCCTTCCAGAGACTTCTGATGGCACCCGGGGTCTCCACCAGGGAGATGGTACACATTCAGCAGACGGCTGAGCACCTGGGCTCACGGACGCCCTGTCCACACAGGGTACGCACAGGGCAGACAGCTCAGCACCTGGGCTCACCCCATGGACGCCCCGTCCACACGGGTACGCACAGAGCAGACGGCTGAGCACCTGGACTCACGGACGCCCTGTCCACACAGGGTATGCACAGAGCAGACAGCTCAGCACCTGGGCTCACCCCATGACGCCCCGTCCACACGGGGTACGCACAGGGCAGACAGCTCAGCACCTGGGCTCACCCCATGGACACCCCGTCCACACGGGGTACGCACAGAGCAGACGGCGCAGCACCTGGGCTCACCCCATGACGCCCCGTCCACACGGGGTACGCACAGAGCAGACGGCTCAGCACCTGGGCTCACCCCATGGACGCCCCGTCCAAACGGGGTACGCACAGGGCAGACGGCTGAGCACCTGGGCTCACCCCACAGATGCCCCGTCCACACGGGGTACGCACAGAGCAGACGGCTGAGCACCTGGGCTCACCCCATGACGCCCCGTCCACACGGGTACGCACAGGGCAGACGGCGCAGCACCTGGGCTCACCCCATGACGCCCCGTCCACACGGGGTATGCACAGGGAAGACAGCTCAGCACCTGGGCTCACCCCATGACGCCCCGTCCACACGGGGTACGCACAGGGCAGACGGCTCAGCACCTGGGCTCACCCCATGACGCCCCGTCCACACGGGTACGCACAGGGAAGACGGCTCAGCACCTGGGCTCACCCCATGACGCCCCGTCCACACGGGGTACGCACAGGGCAGACGGCTCAGCACCTGGGCTCACCCCATGACGCCCCGTCCACACGGGTACGCACAGGGAAGACGGCTCAGCACCTGGGCTCACCCCATGACGCCCCGTCCACACGGGGTACGCACAGGGCAGACGGCTCAGCACCTGGGCTCACCCCATGACGCCCCGTCCACACGGGGTACGCACAGAGCAGACGGCTGAGCACCTGGACTCACCCCATGACGCCCCGTCCACACGGGTATGCACAGAGCAGACAGCTCAGCACCTGGGCTCACCCCATGACGCCCCGTCCACACGGGGTACGCACAGGGCAGACGGCTCAGCACCTGGACTCACCCCATGATGCCCCGTCCACACGGGGTACGCACAGGGAAGACGGCTCAGCACCTGGGCTCACCCCATGACGCCCCGTCCACACGGGGTACGCACAGAGCAGACAGCTCAGCACCTGGGCTCACCCCATGACGCCCCGTCCACACGGGTACGCACAGGGAAGATGGCTGAGCACCTGGACTCACCCCATGACGCCCCGTCCACACAGGGTACGCACAGAGCAGACGGCTGAGCACCTGGACTCACCCCATGACGCCCCGTCCACACGGGGTACGCACAGAGCAGACAGCTCAGCACCTGGGCTCACCCCATGACGCCCCGTCCACACGGGTACGCACAGGGCAGACGACTCGGCACCTGGACTCACCCCATGACGCCCCGTCCACACGGGTACGCACAGGGCAGATGGCTGAGCACCTGGGCTCACCCCATGACGCCCCGTCCACACGGCCCCCACTGTTCCGGCCCTGACCGGCAGGGTAGATGCTTGGATCCCGCGAGAGGAGCCTTAGGAAGCTCCGAGGTCCGGGCCGCAGAAAGCACTCGTGAATGCGGCTATTTTTAGTACCATTACTGAGGATAAATTCCCAATTCCTGAGCACAGCTCTAAGGGCCCCGTGACTGTGACCTTGGCTCCAACTCCACCCTGCTCCTGCCTCACACCATGGGACCCAACGGATCCCTCGATGGGCGACTGCGAGTTCACTTCTCGGGGCTTCCGTGCAGGCGGGTCCTCGTGGCGGGACTGGACTGGCCTCACCTTGAAGACTCCTATCCACCCTTCAAAACCCGGGGCACCGTTTTTCTTTTTCTCTCCTTTAAGAAAGACACCCCTGACCCGCTTGGCTAATGGTGATCACCCCGCTAGCACCCTGAGTGGGTGCTCGGATCTACTTCTATCACTGCAACACTTCCAGCCCTGCCCAGGGAGGCAGGAGGGGCCTTCTGCTCATAGGACGCCCTTGCGCTCCGACTGCCTGGACCTGGCCTCTCTGCCCCCCATGCCCTGTGACCTCTCTGCTCCCCACGCCCTGTGGCCTCTCTGCTCCCCACGCCCCGTGACCCCGGCCTCTCTGCCCCCCACGCCCCGTGACCCCGGCCTCTCTGCTCCCCACGCCCCCTGACCCCGGCCTCTCTGCCCCCCACGCCCCGTGACCCCGGCCTCTCTGCTCCCCACGCCCCGTGGCCTCTCTGCTCCCCACGCCCTGTGGCCTCTCTGCCCCCCACGCCCCATGACCCCGGCCTCTCTGCTCCCCACGCCCCGTGACCCCGGCCTCTCTGCTCCCCACGCCCCGTGGCCTCTCTGCTCCCCACGCCCTGTGGCCTCTCTGCCCCCCACGCCCCATGACCCCGGCCTCTCTGCTCCCCACGCCCCGTGGCCTCTCTGCCCCCCACGCCCCGTGACCCCGGCCTCTCTGCCCCCCACGCCCCCTGACCCCGGCCTCTCTGCCCCCCACGCCCCCTGACCCCGGCCTCTCTGCTCCCCACGCCCCCTGACCCCGGCCTCTCTGCCCCCCACGCCCCCTGATGCTGGCTCCTCTGCTCCCCACGCCCCGTGACCCCGGCCTCTCTGCCCCCACGCCCCCTGACCCCAGCCTCTCTGCCCCCACGCCCCCTGACCCCAGCCTCTCTGCCCTCACGCCCCGTGGCCTCTCTGCCCCCACGCTCCGTGGCCTCTCTGCCCCCCACGCCCCGTGGCCTCTCTGCTCCCCACGCCCCGTGACCCCGGCCTCTCTGCCCCCACGCCCCGTGACCCCGGCCTCTCTGCCCCCACGCCCCGTGGCCTCCGATGCCCCCCACCAGCTCTCCGAGCTCTCTCCGGGCTGAGTGAGTCAACCCTGGAACTCTTCCAGAGGAAGCTCTGATCGCCACACAGCCGAGGCTCGGCACCTCAGCACGGCGGTGGCTGGGGCCACGTGGGCCTCCACGCTGGTTCCTGGTGCCCCAGGGCCAGGCTCCCTTCTCGGATCATTCTAGATTGACTGTGGCCCAGGAAGTGGACTGTAAGGAATCTTCACCCACAATGGTGTCCCCAGTCCACGGGTGACCTTGGCTATGTCCTTGGGCTCCCCTGGGCCTAGGATCCCCAACTTGTACAAGACTGGTCATGGCAAGTGAGATGCAAAGTTCAATGAGGTGTCTTTCAGAACTGGGGCGGGCATTGTTGCACGGGGTCTGGGCTTCACGCCCTGCCCCTGCCCTCCCCTGGGGCCCCGGCACGCCACCTGCCCGCTGGTCATCACGCGCTCGGGCACCCCTGCCTGGCTGCAGCGCGAGGAGACAAGTGGAGGGGCTCAACTCAGCACCCAGGGGCTGGGCTTCTGCTCCTCGGCGACCCTCTAGGTCCTGGCGGATGGGGGCCCAGGAGACGCTAAGGCGCCAGGCTTGCTGGAGGCGCCACGGGCCTTTCCGACCGGGCAGTGCCAGCTGGGCCTGGGCTGGGAGACAGCGGGAGGTGAGCAGCCAGCCCAGGCTCTCTGGGGCCCCGACCCAGGCCGGGCTCCAGGCAGTAAGCGGAAGTGCGTGCATTGCGCCCGCACCCTCTACCCTGACTTGGCGAAGCGGCTGTGTGCTGCCCTCCAACAGGTGTTCGCGTGTTGGGGCCTTTAGCCAGGGCCCGGTCCCCACGGGGGCTCGCCGCACCTCGGGCAAGGCAAGTAACCTCCACTTGCTCCCAGGGCGCCCCGGCCGGGTCGGGGCCGCACGGTGGGCGCAGTGGGTCTGTCGGGGTCGGCGCGAGGCAGGCGCGGAGCCCGCTGCATCTTCGAGGCGCGCGGGGCGTCAGAGGGCAGCCACATCCCTTCGCGGTCCGCGCGCGCACGGACAGGGCCCCGTGAGCGCGCAGGGAGCTCCCGACCCACAGGGAGGACAGCCCCGCGGCCGGCGAGGGGGGTGCCCGGGTCTCCGCCCCGCTCCCGGCCTCGCTCGCTCGGCCCCACGTTCGCTGCGCGCCCGGTCGCCGCTCTGACCTTGGGGTCTCCGGCCTCGGGAATCCGGGTCCCAGCCCCCGACCCTGCCCGAGCCTGCGCCAGGGGTGGCCGCGAAGCCGGGCCAGCGGCGCCCCCTCCCCGGCCCTCGACAGCGCGAAGGGAAACCCCGAAGGAAAGGGCGGGGGAGGGGGCCCGGCGAGGAGCGACGCCCCGCTCCGGGGGGCTCCCCCGCTGCCAGGCCTCTCCGCGCCCCTTCCTCAGCCTCCTCGCCCCTCGGGGGGCGCCGGCGGGGGAGGGAGCGGCCGGGGGAGGGGAGCCCCGGGCAGGGCAGGCGGGCGCAGGAGCGGCTGGCTCGGCCCTCGGGCTGCAAAGTTGGGCGGCGGCGGGCGGAGGGGGCTCCGGCCGGGCCGGGGCTGCAGGGCGCCAGGGCGCCTGCTCGCTCACCTGCTGGTCCCCCGCGCCGGCCCCGGGGTGGGCGGCTGCGGCTCGGCGCGGACTCGGCTCGGCGCGGGGCTGCGGGCGCCGGGCACGGGCTCAGCGGCCCCGGGGGCGCGATCCCCGCATCCTACGGGCGCCGCCGCCGCCGTCTCGGCTCCGCCGCTCGGCTCGGGCTCCCGGGCTCGGCGGGCGGCGCGGGCTCGGGCTGGGGGCGGGGTCGGGGGCGGGCCCCGCCTGGGCTCGGCCTGGGGCTCGGGGCCCCGGGCTGGCTCCGCCCCAGAGCGACGCGCCCGGGGCTCCGCACGTGGCGCTCCGCCCGCTCGCAGGGCGAACGCACCGGCCCTCGCCGGGGCGCCCTGCCCGGACAGCCGCCCGCGCGGACGCGGACGGACGCACGGACGCGGGGCGCTCACGGCGGCACGGACAGACGCACCGACAAGTGTCGGCACGCGCCCTGGCACGCGCCGGAGTGCGTGGCCACGCGCACACAGCCTCAGCCGCTTTGGGTCCGAGACGGACACCGTCCTGCCCGACACGGGCGGCCGCTGACCCCCGCGTTGGGGCTGACGCGCGCCAACGGACCACACCGGCACTGACGCACTCGTGTGCGCTGGGGAACACGGACGTGTGCACACCTGCTCTGGCACACCCTGACATACGGGCATCTGCGCTGACACACACGCACTGGGACTGACACACACGGATACACACACCTGTGCTGACCTATGTGCACGTTGACACACGTGTGCACACTGGGATTGACACGGATATGCACACCTGTGCTGACCTGTGTGCACATTGACACATGTGCACACTGGGACTGACACACACGGATATGCACACCTGTACTGACCTATGTGCACATTGACACATGTGCACACTAGGACTGACACACACATGGATACGCACACCTGTGCTGACCTGTGTGCACATTGACACATGTGCACACTGGGACTGACACACACGGATACACACACCTGTGCTGACCTATGTGCACATTGACACACGTGTGCACACTGGGACTGACACACGTGCACACCTGCACTGGCAGTCGTTGAGACACACTGACATACACCCGCATAGCACACACACTGATATGCACACCTGTTCTGATATGTGCACACTGACACACACGCATGCATCCAGGGGGTGACAGACACGTGGACACCCCGTGCTGATAGAAACACACATCCCCCACCCAGACCAGAGACCAGCAGCCAGCACACACCCGCACACCGTGGCTGACACAGATGCACTCACACACATCCTGCTGCTGAGGCGGGGGAGGTCACACAGTGTCAGGTACACGGGCCTCACACACAGACACCATCACTAGCAAGAGACAGCCGTGGGCACAGAGATCCGTGCGCGGGCGACACAATCACACGGTCAGAGGAGCACCTGGAGCCCCCAGGAGCCCACCAGCCTTTGCCACTGGAGGGGTTGGTGGGCTCCCCGTGTGGTGGTCCTGCCTGGAGCCACTGCGGGAGTGCCCCAGGGCACACACAACTGTTGTCTCCCGCTCCTCTCCTGCCTCCTTTGCAAGGCTCTTGGAGGGCCAAGCAGGTGCCGGGTTTGGGGACTGAGACGGACACCTGCTCCTCCATTGTTGGGGGGGGGTGGGGCAGGGCATGGTCCCTTTGGGACCTGGGCGTGAGGCTCTGGGGGTCACTGGAGGCCCCAAGGGTGTGCCAGGGGGCTGCCTGTATCTGCAGGAGGGGCTCAGTAAGAAAGTCGGTGTACAGAAAAGTTCAGGACAGGGGACTGGTGGGCCACAGATCGTCCACGGCTGGCCCCTGATGGGCCTCAGGTTGGCCGGCAGCTCCCACTGGTGGCCACAGTGAGAAGTGCAGTGTGTGCAGGGGGGCCCAGCTTCCGGAGCTCATACCTGTTGGGGGAAGGAAGGTCCTGCCCCCACCCCCACTCCGGGATCTCCCACCACCTGGCTTCTTTCGCTTGAACAGAGATTCACCCTTGCAAACAGATCTGCAGCCAAGCAGCAGGTAGGGCTGGAGCGAAGCTGCCTGGGCTGGGAGCCGGAGACCCTGTGCCTTCGACTCCAGCACAGGCGAGGTTTTCACACCCTCCTGAGTGCAGGCCACTGGAGGCTGCCAGCCAGAGAGGGGCTCAGCGGGTGGTGGGGAGAAGCACCCCTGGGAGGGAGCCCTCGGGCAGGGCCGACTCGGGCTGGGGGGGGTGGCGGCCGGCATCTGCAGACCAGCACCCCCTGCAAGGAGCCCTTGCCAAGCCCCCTGTTGAATTAAAGCAGTAATGGGGACATGCAGGCAGCTCCCAGGGAGCGAGCAGAGGCTTTTAAGTGAGTGTTTCCTTTACTGCGCCGGCCCTGGTCTCAGGCCGAAAGTTGGGTGGAGCCGGTCGTCCCGCGGATCCGTGCCAGCCTCCTCTGTTGCGTTACTCGATTTCTTTGCCCGATTCATGAAGCTACCCCACGGTACTGCCCGCCCCACGCAAGCGCCCTCTCCCGTAGACAAGCAGGTCTTTACCTGTCGGCATCCTTGCTGTCTGTGCCCCTGTGTTCTCCCTCTGCCAGTCCCGGGCTTCTCTTCCTGGATTTTATTTCCACTGGGACCGAGCTGCGGGACAGTGCGTGGACCTGAGGGCTCAGTGGGGGGCGGGGGTTTCTCTAGCTGGACACGAAATCCGTACAATCAGCACGCAGAAGCCCAGCGTTGTCGGCACCTGGCGGGCCCCGTCCTGTGCCTCACCATCACCACGCTGCCCTGCGTTCACCTCGAATTCCCTTTGCTGGCTTTGCCACTTATTTAAAATAGAATCATAGAGGGCAGGCCGGCTGCGGTGAGGTGGATGCTGGGAGAACCAGCTTGGAAAGCCGTAGCACCCCGTGTCTGGCTTCCCTGGGCAGCTTTTCCTCGTGCCGTCCAGGCCTGCTGTAGCTTGCAGGTGCACTGCGTGTGTCCTAGTTGCTGTGTAGATCCCGCTGACCGTTCCCACGTTCACTTATCTGTGCCAATGGGTGCTGGGTGGCTTCTGTTTGGGGGCTATTACAGATAGCACAGCTATGAACGTGCCAGGACTTGGGTGTTGCTGGATACGCGTGCCCAGTTCTGGGAATACACACTCGGCGGTGATATTTCTGGGCCACACGACGAAGCGCTCTGCTTTCAGTGGACGCCGTGTGACGGTTTTCCAGAGTGGTTCTACCAAGGTGCGCCACACCTGCAGTGAAGGTGCGAGGACCCTGGCTCATTTGCATTCTCCAGCCCTTGATATTTTTGTCATTTTCATTTCAGTCACTGGAGTGGGCGTGCAGAGGTTTCGCATTGTGGTTTTAATTGGCATTTCCCTGATGACTAATGAAATTGAGCACTTTTCACGGTTTATTGGCCATTTGTGTGTATGTGCTTCTCATTTATATAAGTGGGCATTGTTCTAGATTTTATTCTTTTTGTAATGTTGCTCCCTCAACACTGGGCTTTTGAGCTCTAGCTGTGTGGTGTAGGCAGCTGGTTCTTGGCTTTTGATAGCATCCACGGCACTCGTGTCTCCAGCCCTGGAAGTGAGAGAGGCAGAGTGTGTTTTCTCCACTCCGCTAATGCCTGGGGCCGGAGGTGGGGCGGGACTGATGGAGAGTCAGGACGTCGAAGGCGGAGGTGCGGCTTGGTGGGCCGAGAACAGGAGACGGGTGATCGCCCATCCTCCAGCTCCCAGCGAGTCCTCCCTGTTCAGCGGCTGTCTGGGCTCTGGGCAGGAGGCATCTGGGGGCAGGAGCGCGGACCCCCCTGAAAGTAAGGGGCTCTAGGGAGACCCCCGGGCCCCGCTTCTGCCTGAGCTCCGGCTTGCAGGTGTGCAGATCCACTAGGCAGGGTGTTGGGGACCTCTGCCTTGGCGCCGGCTGGCCACCCTGCTCCCGTCCCCCGCGTGCACCTGTCACGAAGCTCTGCCCTCTCTGTACTTAGCCCTGCCTGCCTCTCCAGGAGGGGCGGTGTATCTCCAGCCTCCTGATGACAGGGCCTGGGGCGCTGAGCTGCTCAGTGTCTCTGGTCTTCCTGCTGTGAATGCCTGGAGCAGCCAAAACCAGCCTTGGCCTGGAAGGTGAGGCTGGGAGAAGGCCCTGGCCCTCGGCCCTGCTGACGGTGGAACCCAGAACACCGGCCCAGTCTCCCGCACTCTGTTGTCTGCAGCCCGACTGTGGTGGGGGAGGGCCTGGGGGTGAGCGTCTCCCAGGACAAGCTGTCTGCCAGCTCCTCGCACTTGCCAAGGTTCCTGATGCCTGGGTCCGGGAGCGCCCTGTCTTGGGAGGTGGGTCCTGCTCCCCCCACCCCCACCCCCGCCAAGGCGCAGCTGCTGCTCACACTTCCCGAAGTTCCCGGCACGCCTGCCGGCAGCCTCTCGTCCGCGTGTTTTTCCTGGTAGAGTTCATGTCTTCGGAAACCATTCCCTGTCGCCTTAGTGCAGCTCCAAGAGCTGCCTTCAGTGCACTGTGTTCTGAAGGAGGCCTTCATTTCAGCTTCCACTCCAGGCAATTCTAAAAAGTTAAATTTGTTGGAGAGAGACAAAACCACTCCCCTCTGCTGCCTCACTTCTCACCGGCGCCAGAGCCAAACCGAGAAGACAGGCCAGGTGTTCGGCGCGCGGCAGGAGCCCGGTGCCCTGGCCATGGCTGCTGCCTGCCGGGGTCTGCGGTGCTGGGGAGCTGGAGGCCGGAGCAGCAGCCGGCACGGAACCAGGCCCTCCGGTGTGCGATGCAGGGGTGCAGGCACTTTGAGAGCCACGCTGGACGCCCACTTCCTCCTCCAGACAGTTTAGAGTAGTGATCGCACACTGCCTTCATGTGGTCAGCATTCTCGCGGAATTTTTCTTGTAAAGGTTTATTTATTTGAGAGGCAGAGTTACAGAGAGGGAGATGCAGAGAGAGGAGGGAGGGAGGGAGGGAGGGAGGGGGAGAGAGAGAGAGAGAGAGAGAGAGAGGTCTTCCATCAGCTGATTCACTCCCCAAATGTCCGCAACAGCTGGAGCTGTGCTGATCTGAAGCCAGGAGCCAGGAGCTTCTTCCAGGTCTCCCACGCGGGTACAGGGGCCCAAGGATTTGGGCATCTTCTACTGCTTTCCCAGGCCACAGCAGAGAGCTGGATTGGAAGTGGAGCAGCCGGGACTAGATCCGGCGCCCTTATGGGATGCCAGCGCTGCAGGCGGTGACTTTACCCCCTGCACC